AGCTTTACTTTTCTGGACACAAAATGGGTATTTCCCCTTAAGAGACCCCGTCCCTGATCAAACCAAACTCATAAACAATTACATTGGTCATATTGCTATATGTCTATCTTGAGGACTTACGTTACATCTATTCGACAATAGCTCAATTAAGACTCATTTAAACATACACAAAATCTATCAAACACCATCCGAAACATACTAGTAGAAAAATCAATTATAATAGCCCCATCCACATGTAAAAAAAGATTTAAAATAATGGAAGCCTTAATAATAAAAAAAAGAAAATAACATCAACTAAGACCACGGCCACAATGTGCTGACCATGTTTGGAAAATAAAACATTCCTATAATTTAAGACACATACATAAAAAACTCACATTTAGTTAAAGATAAATTAAAAAAAAAACGCCTTTGTTAATGGCTTAGGGAATAGCCGAAAGCGATAGAATATGCAAAACATTTGTACAGTTATTACACACATTTGATCAAGAAAAGAAACCATTGGACGAACACAAGAAAATTTAAATAAAAAGCTTAATCGCAGTACCTTTTCAATGGTCTTTAACGAAACATATATAAAAGAGATATTGCTGCCCAAATACGCAATATATATATATATATATATATATATATATAATGTTATAAGATCACTACAAAGTTGCAATTTTTTCAACACTGCTAGTGTCTTCTCAAGTATATATATGTGTGCACGCGCGTGTGTGTGTAGGTGTGCAAATATATTGATAAAATAGGAAAGAACCATTAGATTGATGATCCGAAGTTCTTTAGTATTTTTGCTTTTATTTAAAAAAAAAACAGTGCTCGATACACAAGTAGTGCCTAGATTATAAATATTTCATTTAAAAATATGATTCCATCGCTACACAGGAATTACCATGTTTCAAAAACCGAATCTTCCAATTCAATTAAACTTCCAGTTCTATTATAGAAATGAAATGAAATTAACTAGGTACTTTAATTTAATGTAATTTCTATAATTGAATTGGAAGTTTTTAGCTTTTGTTTTTGAAACATAGTAATTCATGTGTAGCGATGGAAACATTTTTTTTTTTTAAATAATTATAATATATATATAAAAACAAGTCATAAGCTTCTACTCCTCTTAAAAAATCAGAGAAGTGTGAACAGAATGATAGAACGAACATATCTATTCCAATTTAGGAGAGAGGAAAAAAAGTAAATAAAATTTCAGAATTCAAACGGAGATGTTAGAAGTATAGAGTTGAGTAACATTTACAAGGAACTGTAAACCAAAGTCCTAAACTGTAAATAAGGGATGCTCCTTTACTCCTGTTCAGAAGACAGGGAAGGTGTATGAAACAGATGATATGAAAACCTATTTACTCCTATCATGATTGTCATGGCTGTAACAAGATTTTGGTTATCATCACTCCACTGAAGGTGTCTGTTATATTTGTGTTTATTTAAATATAGTTTATAAAGAGTAAAAAAGAAAATCTCTGGAATTTAGACGAATATGTTTTGCGTAACATAATGATCGCTACCAATTCGGACAATGGGCCTTCATTTCGCATATCCATACTTCCATATTGAGGCGTGTATGAACGAAAATTACATACCCACATTCGCGTTTATGAGCTTATATATTTACGCATAGAGAGGCACAACCTCTTATCCAACAATATTAGCCGACATATTTTCAGAGCACACCTCTATGCTAGGGCGTCTCTCCAATCACTTTTAGAGACACCTTCTCAGGCACATCTGTTTATTAGAGAAAGGGCATAATCTGCACTGATCACCTGTTTGAACAACGACAATACGCTCAAGCACTCATTCACGATAAATCTTAACTTCGGGCCAGCATAGCCATTGATGCCTTCCGAATAGATCTACCCACCCAGTTTCATTTACAAGGTTTGCATCAACATGTGATGTGATTTTCAAGCGGTCTCCAGTGGTGGCTAATGTAAAGACCGCCTAACCAAGATATTATCATCAAACAGTCATCTTCCTGACAATTCGGAGATGGTGGGGTACTAACCATTCTCCAACTATATTTCCAAAACAACGCTTGAGGAGTAAACTAGCACCCAGTGATTAAGGGTTAATATTGGAATTAAACTTAAATACTGCTGACGAGTTTCGAAACATAATAATTTCTGTGTTGCGATGGAATCATATTTTTTTTAAAATAATTATAATTTAGGCTCTACTGGCGTATCTGGCACTGTTTTTTAAAAATAAAAACAAAAATACTAAAGAACTTCGTATCATCTAACGGTTTTTTTCCTATTATATCAATATATTTGAGCACACACATACACACACACACACTCATATATATATATATATATATATATATATATATATATATATATAGTTTATGAAAAACTAGGTAATCCTTATGGGTAAACCTAAGGAGGATATAATCCAGAGAGCTCAATGTAAATCCTGAGTACATAATTCAGATAAAACAGACCACTTTAAGGTTCCATGTAATAAATTATTTCACCAC